GTTTACATATAATACAGTGGGCTACCCTTGGGGCAATGGGAGGTGGCCGCTTAATAGGGGCTGGCCGCTTCATAGAGGTTGGTGTATCTTGAATATTTTTTTCACCATAGGGTTATAAATTTCTTAGTGAACTTGGTGTCAATTTAAGACAGTCATTATAGACGTCATTCTCGGAGACCCAGGGGCAGTTATTGGGAGCGGGGAAAAGTCTAAACGGGTGAGAAAAAAGTTCGGGCGACGACCCTTTTAGACTTTTTTCCCGCCCCCACTAACTGCCCCAGAGTCTCCGAGAATGACGTCTATCATGATTGTCTTCAATTGACTCCAAGTTTAATAAGAAATTTAGCTAAATTCAGTTCAGTGAATATGAATTTACTGCGCTTGGCCTTGCTGCCGCCCATTTGAAAGATTGAACCGGACTTTCACTTGAAACCGGACATTCAGCTGAAACTTTCCGCTGCTATCGGCAAACATGTCACCGCAGTTGGATGATCTCCTATGTCAAATATGTAATGTAAATTTTCGGTTGAAACTCTACATTTGAAGTTTTCGCAATAACTTTTAGATTTACACCTACAGACGATGCAAAAATTGTTACAAGATACCTCCTTTGCCGTCTTCTTTTTAAAACTTCTTTGGCAGTGTCGCTGAAAGAACACTGAACGAAGATAAACTTCTCACGGCATGTTTTTGCCTCGCTGCTCAAAGTGCACCTAACCCCAAAAATGTGTTTTCGCTAAAACGAATTCACTTGTTATTCGAAGCATTTAGGCGAAAAAAGTTTTGAATTTGCTTGAATCCTCGATTTTCTATGCCCTTTCAAAGTCGCGCTTGAAGTGTTGCGCGACCGCGTTTTAGGGAGTCTGGGGCGGCGGTTGCTGATGACGTCTACCCAGGAACCAAACACAATGGCGCGTCAGTCAGCTCTCTGTATTTGCTCGCGAAAATGGAGAACAAAACTAAGCCTTCCAATATATTTTGGGACGAAAATGTCCAAGTTTTGTTTCAAAATCATTTCTTTTTCGTCACTGGAGTCAAAGTTAAGTGTCGATTCGGAAGACTCCGAAATAAACTTCGATCGTGGACGTTCGACAGTTGTGAACCCACTGCTCAGAGC